ATAACAGTGGTAGCGTAGTAAATGGTTTTAATAGCAACAATTCATATCGATTTTGCAAGATTCATATTTTTGATGTAGAAAATCATGGTTTGTAACAACTATTTGTTGTGTATACATCATAAACTATCAACCATTTGGTCATGCATCAACACCAATGTACAGTGTGACATGGTATGTTGAATAGATTCAATGTTGATTCAATGTTGATTCAATATTCCCAATATTCCCAATATTCCCAATATTCTCAATACTATAAACAACATATGGACACCAAACAATACCAGTTTTTCAACCGATATTCACAACTAAATTAGTCAGACTATTTATCCAAGATGTGCAACCCAGACCAAACATCATGTGTACAATGGTGGGTGGTTTGCATGTTTGAATAGTGGACAACGTTCAGTGCTAGACTAATACCCAATGTAAATCATCAAATGATGGCAGGGTTTTCAACAAATAGTTTCGATTACATTTTGACCAATAGCAAGTGTTGATCGGAGATGATCAACAATCAACAATCATGGACAAAACTCGTTCAACTATATAGTGGATGAATGTAACATTGCATGATTGTCTACTTATCAGCGATATGTATATTAATGACATGAACAAACAAATGGATGGTATCATTAGTACAGGTTTTGATCAAGGTTTTGAAACCCAACTCCAAGTCTTTGCGCCAGGTTGTCATAATCTTGAATGACTGATGACTGTCAGTGCAATATTCCTACTCAATACGTTTATGGACACGGTAGTTTCAGGAAATCATTGCATGATTGGTTACTTTGACATGTTGGATTTACATGGTACTCAATGGTATGATTGATAGGTCAATTGGCAATTGTTTCGTGTTTTTAGTCATTTATTTGCCTGCAATAAAAGCGGCATGATCTCATATACCAGGAGTTTGACAAAAATACAAGACTCATTGCCATGACACTATTTCAAGAGTAGTCATTGCATATTGGTGTTCACCAGACAAACAAACCATCAAGTATAGCGTATTTTTCAATTTTCAGTTTTTGGCATTCAGGTTTGGGTTTTGATCAATCGTTGAACCAAGACTAAATCATCATTGGTTGTTACAGCTGGCCAAACAAGCTTACTCGATAAATATTACAAATCATATAACCCAAATCATCAAAATCACTCCAAACTGCTGACAAGTCATTGACAAGTCACCGCCAAGTTGGTTGTTGCTAATTCATCAGTGTTGGCAGCTACAATAATCAATCAATATATGTTTTGAAAATTGTTTTGAAAATCGATTCGCACTCTGCACAACTTTTGGACGAGTCATGATCCAAGATACTGTCGCTGTTGGTTTTGATGTTATAACCAATTCAATGCCACATCCAAATGTTGTCAAAATCATCCAAAAACTATTGTGTTGACAAGCATGTGTATTGGCATCAATTCCATTGTAAAAATAGTCGTATAGTTTAGAGTGATTGCTCGCGAGGTCAACAATATCACCACATTTACGAAACGGAACTTTTACAAAACTACAAATCATATACTGCATGCATGTCGTTGGCATTGAGTCTGTGATTGTTGAACAGTGTTATGGTCTTGATTATAGTCAGTCCACCAAATCCAAAATGTGTTGGGTTTGAAAATACTATATATTTTCAAAATCATTGATCTGACAATTAGGTCGCATCTTGTTGAATCCCAGTCTGAATATTTGACACCAGCTGCTGCAATTGCATCCAATAAACCAGCATTGATGCTTGTATCATGAATACCCTGAATATCAGTCATGGCATTATCCATGCATATATATAATATGTTTGGTGGCAATTTGTCTCCAAATGCAATTTTGGATTTGACATTGTCATGCAGTCAAACCATGTTTTTTTTGCAAAACATCGGTAAGGGATTGGTAAACATGCGGATCTCAACCACAAATCGTTCAAAAGTTACAAATACAAGTCATCAAAAAACGTATATCGTTGTCATCAGACAATTTACCATCACACTGCACGACACTTGTACAAAGTTTGTTGGACAAAACTTGGTTGATATCTAGGATACGGTTGAAACTGACAAGCATGTGTGTTCATATTGTCACCAGTGTTGTATTTGATATTCAATCAGTGTGTATTACACTGTCTGACCGATACTAACCACACTACACTAAATAATCAAATGCCAAACAATCTGTAAACAGAGCAAAACACCACTCTAATTCATTATTTGCCACAAACTACCGACTGATCAAATGTCGCTGGGATATATAACACACTATCAAGACGTGTAATATGTCGAGTTGCAACAACACTAAATACATAATAAATGCATAAATGTCCATTTTTAATGGTCTTTGTGTTGAAATGGCTTGAGCAACTTTTTAAACAGCGAAATTGATGTTCAACATTGTTGCGCAAGCCATTTCAACACAAACACATTTCCAAGCCAACCCATATTAATAACTGTATCAGTTGTATCAGCTGTAAACCATACTGTAAAATGATGGTATGTTTGGCATGTATTTGACATGTACATGTTGTACATTTTCGATTGCCATTTCATGTATTGGATTATCAGCATAATAAGCGCAGTATTTCAGTCATTCAGATTCCTTGTTTTGGGAATGATCATTTCTGTCTCATTTTTTGCTGAAATGATAATCAGTGTGTCACTGTGGATCACTGTTTGAACCAAAGTCAATACTACAAGCACTCGAGTGCTACTCCAATCAATTGAGTTGAACTGACATTGATATTGATATCAGCAAGAAATTCAACTGATTTCCAAATTGAACGAGTTGATTCCAAAATATTGTTATCTACAAACATAAATGTCAATTGCAACACTTTTATCAAACCTATTGGATATCAAATCCAGTAACCCATTGTAACAAGCCTCGAATTATATCTCGGAACAATGCAGCCATGACAAAATACAACACTTTACCAGGTTTTCTGTATACAACAACATATATTTGGAGCAGAGTTTGAACAAATAGTTGCGCAGTTATTTGAAGTTTGTGTGTTTCTAGTATCATACCCAAAATGTGTGTTATTCCATCATCAATACTTTGCTCACAATACACTAACACTATTACTATACAATCAGTTGTCAATGACCATGAGTAGTATATGTAGTGCACTGGATGATACCACTTGTTTTAAGCAAGACTGCTAAAATATTCAAAAGTTGACGACATACTTTGATACATTCGTCCATGATGATTGTGATTGATATTGAACGCATTTGGGTTGTGGTTACAATGTGAGTTCTGGTTTTAGAACTAATCAGAATCGGATTGTCTGGAATTGTCTGGAATTGTTGTTGTGCTAGATTGGTGTTTTCACCTATAATCACTGCTAAATTCGATTCAAAGTTGTCAGGTGTGATATCCTGACAAATGCCGACATTATCAAAATGCTTACCGTATACAAGTTGATTAAAGTTGCAAGTTGTCTGCCAAACTCATACTTGATGCTTCAATCGGACACGATTAGATGGTACAAGGATGTGTCAACAGAGCCATTATTTGTCAAAAAGCGTATGTTACAATAGTAAACTTGAATTTGGAACTTTTCATGCCAAATGCATCTCGATCCCTTGAATGTACACAATTGTATGATGCCAGTTGTATTAACAACATTGAATTATCAAATAATTGGAATGGTTGAAAATATGTCATTTCAATTGTAAAATACAACTATCACTTTCTACTCTTTAAATCTGGTTGTATTAGTGGGAGTTGTATAACGTATTGCATCAATCCATGAATGGGTTGTACCTGCTCTGTGCCATCAATTGGTTTGAAACTCTGCTTTTTGAACCCTTTAAACTGGTGAGGCGGAACCACAAAATAAAGTTTGGGTTCATCATACAAATTGCACAGTTTTGTAAGAATATCAACTTCGCGAATAGGATGTTCAGCAACAGCTGTAAATTGGAACATTCCCTGTCGACTGAGTGAATCAATTGCTGCAAAACTATCGTCATCTGTCGGTTCGTAATAGTTACCATCAAGTGCTGCAGCAGTAGGAATAGTATTTATTCCAAATGTAATTCGTTGGCCATTGAGTGCATCCAAAGTAATATCTGTCATTGTACCATCTTCCAGGCATCTGTTAGACATTGGTAATTTATGACATTTGTAATAGGACCCAGACAGTCAGGATGGGGTTTATAGTAACAAGCATTGTATAAACAAGTAAGCTATACAATGCTTGGATATGGTGATGACCATTGCCTCACTTTATGCAATGACTGTAACGCTTGGGAACCCTTAACGGTGAAGCTTAGGAGTGGCGTTTATACCGTCACTAATTCACCACTACTACTTACTATATATAAGAGACAAAGTTCTCTTATCAATAAACAATCACGACTATTCTGATTCATTCCTTCTTCTTGTCTTACATCTCTGTGATCTTCCTCTAAAAACTTATACTACATTAATATGTCACTATACGTTAATGAACAAGAGGTTATGAGCCCAGGCTCACAGCAGGTCAAGATCGCTGAAGGTCTTATTATTACGGTATTGACCCAGGACAATTACACTGTCTGGGCAAACCAAATGGAGGCCGCCTTCGAAACTCTGGATCTATGGGAATCTCACATCATAGGTGAACTTCCAGAAAAGATCGAGCGCGACTACAAATTAAAGGAATTCAAGGCAAGAGGAATCTTGCAGGCAACAGTGAGCAGTAAATTCAAGTTTATGCTCTGTGACAGTAATGGAGTACAACTTGACGCCAGGAAAATCTGGGTCGGACTCAAGAACCATTATGTTGACTACTGTAAAAGATCGCTGACGCGATCAGAGGAAGCCATGGCAAATCTGCAGTACGATCCCAGGAAGGGAGTCGAGGAACTGTACAACACTATGACGAGTCTACGTCATAAGATTGCAGCGGCAAATATATTTTGGGGTGAGAAAGTGTTTGCATCAAGGGTGATGGCAAAACTTGTTTCCAAGAGCAGAGAATGGCGCTACTTCGAAGGACATACAGTGCGATGGACCGACGAAATGCTAAGCCCCAACAAATTCCTGTCGGAACTCATCGAGGAGGAGATTAAACTCATCAACATGGGTGCACTACCGAGGCACGGTGTAGATGACACCATATACGAGGCGAACTATGCGTCTAGAAATCATAGGAACCTACGGAAAGGTTCAACATCACATGGGCCAAATGCACACGGCGCAAAGCAAGGCAACTCTAGTCGGGATGACTATTTTGCAGCAAACCATGAGATGGATACTTATTATCGTAGAGATCAGGGACGTCGACCCTATGAACAAAGAAACGACGATCAAGACAGAATGCCCGCATGCCATAATTGTGGTAATATAGGCCACTATGCAAAGGACTGTCGACCAGCTCCAAGGAACGGCAATTACCGACAATCGTCACCGAAATTCTTCTCCAAAGGGCCACGATCAAACAACCAAGACCGATCAAGAAATAATCAATCGGCAGACGGAATGTTTGTAGCAATGGATGACAAGAAAAGGGACGTTGTAATTGACGAGGCATGTAGCTCCATCGATAGGAGTGATATGTTCATATTGGACTCGGGAGCCTCCAGCCATATGGTATGCCGACCTGAATGGGTGTATGATTTTGTACCGTGCAGCAACCGACAGGTCAAGGCATCAGGACAAGACATGCACAATGTCATCGGTACTGGAACAGTGGAAATCCTGTGCAATATAGGTCACAGGACTGTTTCCATTCAACTGGGTAATGTTCTAGTGGTGCCAACTTTCGGAGTCAACCTTATCTCTGAAAATATACTCGAAGACAAAGGATGTCGGATCAGTATTTTCAAAAAGGTCAGGACGATAAGAAAGTCGAATGGCGAAGTTATCATGACTACCCGTAGAGACGGAGGCGTAAACGCAGTAAACTGCGAGGCTATAATATCTGATGAGGAACGTGCAATGGCTCATAATACAGTAATTGCAACAGCTAATCACGCGTCAGAAGTATTTAGAAAGCCCACAGACACTGCTGGCTGGCATAAAAGACTGGGGCATATAAATGTCGAAGCGATCAAGAACTTGGCCGACAAATCGGAAGGTCTTGATATTATACCGGGAAAGACCAAAGAGAGGTCTCAGTGCGTGGCATGTATCGAAGGCAAGGCCGTTCGACACCCGTTCCCAAAAAGAAGTACACATGTGGCGACTCAAGTCAATGTGTTGCTACACATGGATCTAGAAGGGCCGTTTCATGACACGGCTCTAGGTGGATATAAATATTACCTGATCATAGTAGATGATTACTCGAGGTATTCCCACCTGTATCCAATGATCTCAAAAGATCAAACGTTCCAGCGGTTCAAGGAACATGTTGCCGCTGTCGAATTAAGTAAAGGCTTACCGGTTCGAGCGATCCGAACCGATAATGGAGGGGAGTTTACCTCCAGTGCGTTCCAACAGTTCCTGAAGCTTAAAGGAATTGCAGTACAGAGAACGACGCCTTACACTCCACAGCAAAATGGAGTTGCCGAACGCAAGAATCGGACAATAGTTAGCGCTGTACGCGCTATGTTTGCCGGTTGCAAGCTTGGTCGAGAATTCTGGGCAGAGGCAGCGATGACTGCAGTGTATCTACAGAATCGGTCTCCTAACAAGGCGCTAGGCCAAAGAACACCATACGAGCTATGGACAGGAGAGCTGCCAAAGGTGATGCATCTCAGGACGTTCGGATGTGCAGCGTATGCACTCAGACCAAAGCAACTGCTGACTAAATTGGACACACGCACTAGAAGGTGCATATTTATCGGTTATCACTCACAGGCCAAGGCATACAAGCTGTTTGACCTTGAAAGCAAAAAGATGATAACAAGCAGGGATGTAGACTTTGCTGAAGAGGAGTTTCCTTCACTCTCTAATCCCGTTCGTCGGAACAATACCGTACCAGCAATGACACTGTACGAAGAGGCACCATTATTTACTCATAGCTACAATTTACGCGGTGGTGTTACACCGTCTGTACCTATTGTGATAGATAATGTGGTAAGTCCAAAAACATCAGAAACTCCAGGGAATCCAGATTGTGCGAGTACGCCAATTGGAGGGGAGTCAGAACCAGGTCGCCGACAAGTACCAAGAGTAGTACCGACTGCAAGGAATACAGCGAGGATGACTGTAGCAGATCGCGGGACCGAGGTCACAACAAGCGATGAACGCATAACTCAGGAGGAGTTATTAGGGCGTGGCATCAGCAGGAATAAGGCTATAAAGACATCGCTAAATGAGTCGAGTCTAGCCGGTTATAGGAAACCGAACCAGAAACCGAGATCGAAATCTCAAGGTTCGAGGAAAGCAGTTCAGGAACGTCCAGTTGACGTTATGAACAGGGACAGAGCCACGATGGCTGCTCCCACAGAATCGACGGTCACGGCTGATTATCCAGGAGCGATATCAGAGGTTGATGACGCGTCTGAGCCGAGCATTCAAGCTGCGGTGGAACAAAGAATGGTTGAGGATTTGCCAACCATTACAAGTCAAGATGACAGTGATCTGGAAGAGTCAGATCAATACTACTCGTACACTCACGGGAGTGGTACCAGTAATGCCGATGAGTCGAATAATGCAGTGGCAGTTATATCGAACGGATCATCGAGGAACATTGTGCCAGAAACGTGGCAACAGGCTATGATGTCGAGTGATGCAGATCTATGGAAAGAAGCCGCAGACGCAGAAATGGATTCTTTGTACAAGAATAACACATGGCAAGAATGCGCTCTTCCATCAGGATTCAAGGCCATCAAAGTCAGATGGGTCTTCAAGATCAAGTACAAGGCTGACGGTACTATTGACAAGTACAAGGCCAGATTAGTAGCGAAAGGATTCGCTCAAGTACCAGGCATCGACTTTCACGAAACATATGCTCCGGTATTAAAATTCACTTCTTTGCGAATCATATTGGCACTAGCTGCAATCTATGATTGGGAAGTTGACCATACGGATGCGAACAATGCCTTTCTGAATGGCACAATTGACGAGGAGCTCTATATCGAGCTGCCTGAAGGATACAACAACAGCACAGGAGGGGCAATCAAACGAGTAGGAAGACTACAAAAAGCTCTTTATGGATTACGACAAGCGCCGTACCAATGGAACAAGGTTCTGGTGGACAAGTGCTTGAATATGGGATTTACGCAATGCATGACGGATAAATGTATCCTCATTCTGTCAGCCAAGGACAGGTTTGTCATGATTGCTATATATGTGGATGATATCCTGTTTGTTGGTAACAACAGGAGTTTACTCGAAAGGATGAAGTCGAAACTGTTCAAGGAATTTAGCATGAAGGACTTGGGTCCAATTCATACGTGCCTGAACATAAGGATAATTCGCAATCGAATGGGTCGAACTATCACCCTATCCCAGTCGCACTATCTCTCTGATGTACTAGAGAAATTTCGCATGTCAAATTGCAATCCAAAGTTTATTCCACTGTACCCTTCGAACCCATTACCAGCTGCCGAGGAAACGGATCCAGTTACATCCGCACCTTACAGAGAAGCAGTCGGGTCACTAATGTATGCTATGATAGCAACACGCCCGGACTTGGCCGCTGCAGTTGGACAAGCTGCCCGACATATGCACCATGCGACTGATCAACATTGGAATGCAGTCAAGCTCATACTACACTACGTGCAAGGAACGTTAAGTTACGCACTAGAACTAGGAGGAACCAACGCATCATTGAGTGGTTACTCAGATGCCGATTGGGCTGGAGACGTAAAGACCAGGAAGTCTACGTCTGGATATTTATGTTATGTAGGCAATGCACTTGTATCGTGGAGGTCATCAAAACAGACGTGTGTGGCCGTATCTACTATGGAAGCCGAATATACTGCTGCCGAATCAGCATCGCGAGAATTATTGTTTCTGCGCGATCTACTTGGAGAGTTAGGTTTCGAACAAGATGGACCAACAACGCTATACTGTGATTCGCAATCGGCGATATCAAACATGATTGGACCATCCGTCGTACACGAGGCAACCAAACATATAGGCATTAAGATTAATGCATTACGAGACAGAATCAGCCAGGGACTGATCAAACCAGAGTACATCGGTACTAAGGATCAAGTAGCTGATATTCTGACAAAGGGATTACCAAGACCCGCCTTCGAACAATTCGTCAACCTGCTCGGTCTTCGAGAGTGTTCTCGACGTGGAGGGGTGTTAGACATTGGTAATTTATGACATTTGTAATAGGACCCAGACAGTCAGGATGGGGTTTATAGTAACAAGCATTGTATAAACAAGTAAGCTATACAATGCTTGGATATGGTGATGACCATTGCCTCACTTTATGCAATGACTGTAACGCTTGGGAACCCTTAACGGTGAAGCTTAGGAGTGGCGTTTATACCGTCACTAATTCACCACTACTACTTACTATATATAAGAGACAAAGTTCTCTTATCAATAAACAATCACGACTATTCTGATTCATTCCTTCTTCTTATCTTACATCTCTGTGATCTTCCTCTAAAACTTATACTACATAAATATGTCACTATACGTTAATGAACAAGAGCATCTGCATTTGAGAGTTTGTCCACCAGTACAAAAAACCACATGTCCGTATATTTCAAACAAATGTCTTGAAATCTCGGTTGAAATACTATCAAACATTTGCTGCATATTGGTAATCATTTGAGCAGAGTGACGTTGCCAGAGTTGTTCTCCAACATATCTTGAAGCAATATCAACATGCAGGAATCTGTACTGTCCGTCGTCCGACACAATGGTATGAAGCAATGTATGAGTATTTGCAGATATTTTGATTGTGAATCCAATGTTTCGTACCCCTTTGACTGCATCAACATCAGCCAAAGCTTTCTCCATTGGATTTGATACAATATCAAAGACATGACGAGCTACACCACCATACATGCGATATCTCTCATTGATAGTCTCAATGGGTACATCCGGATAGCAATGACGTCGGCAAGCCTGTAACTCGTCCAAAGTCCAAACAGGAAAATACCATTGCCTTGCCATCTTTTGTTTGACGAATTCCTTGTACCATTCAGACTGAGGAGATGACATGAACAAGACAATACAACATGATGATCTTGGAATCGTGTGTCCATCAACAATATACAATGTGTCTTGTTTCCAAACAATATTGACCACTTCAAGTCCAAGCTCTGTGACGAGTTGTTGCTGCAAGTCAAAGCATTTGTACGAGGATCCCACTTGATAAACAATCCGGTTTGGCTTCAAGGACAGAGTTTTCGTGGTAAAGTCATCCATCAAGCGATGCAATATGTAGACAAAAAACAGTGACTTTCCGATGCCTGATGTTCCAGATATTGCAAATGATTCCATGCCACGATCAATTTGATCCAAAAGCAAGCCAAACACATCATGATAGCACTCTCTAACATATAGTTTTTGGATTTTGTCTTGGGTGTATGGGAAAAAGACATGATCTGTCGACTGTATGCATTCATCGATCAGCTGGGCGTTTGAAAACGACTTGAATTGGGTTGTCAAATCATTGGGTTCGGTACGTTGTCGTTTAGGAGAAAAGTCTTGATGGTTTGCTGTTGATAAAGAAGTAGAACCTGCATCAAAAATGGTACTTTTGCTTGGTTCCCTGGTGGGTAGAGGTAAACAACCAATGACAACACAATAACCATTTTGAGTAAAGTATTCTTGAGGAAGGGAGTCGAGTAAAGCCCAGGTGTTGATTAGTTGGTCCCTGTTACTGTTGGTGTATAGTTGGAGTTGAGGAGCATCAATGTCAGCCATAGCAGGACCATACTCAGACTTGATAACATCCTGAACGTCACTCAGGTCTTCAAAGTCAGTCACATCGATTTCAGTAGAAATAGTGTTGTATTCAACATTGAGGTATCGTTTTGGCATTTTATGAAAAGAAAAAGAATAAAAAAAACAATTTATTTGTCAAATTGTAAAACAAAAATCGACTTTTTAATCGAGTCAAATAACAAAATTTTGGGATATTTCAAGACAATTCACACGATTGAAATATTTGGAAATTAGTCAAATTTACACCAGAATTAATGTCTCATTAATGTGAGACATTACTAGTGTGAGAGTGTTGACTTGCATTGTGTGAGACATTAGTAGTGTGTGAATGTGAGACATTTCTGAATAGTTTAACAATCAAAAACCATCAACAATGACGTTTGAACTGGGATTCACATGACTTTCTTGTCTCCTATTTTATAAACACACTCACTCACTTGTTAATAAACAACACAATCGAATATTGATTCATTCCATCACATCTTCAATCAACTGCAACACACTTGACAATAATGACAACCATCAATATGCCATCATATGTTCACGATCCTCAAATTCAAAAGTCAATTTGAAAACCCCATTTTTAAGCATCTACAAGTCTGCAATATCAGATTTGTGGCTGGTACATAATAGGTTGCCAATAAAAGTCGACAAAGTGAGCAACTGCAATGTGCCTTGCTGTATGATAGTAACATACCAGAAATTATGAATGCTTTCAAAATCAAAAGTCTACAAATGATGCCACTGCTGGCTTGTAGCCTCTGTTTACAAACCTACAATCAATATATTCACTGGATTCGTATAATGGTAAATGCTGAACCACAAACCGCTGATGATATTATTATGGACGATGCTCATATTATTGGAAATCAAACGATTGGTGCAGTTTCAGATGCTGTTTCATCACACAGAAAGTCTTGCTACAGAGTCTGAATCCAATAGCAGTGAATCTGCAGTTTGACCAACACAGTCAATAATTATTGTTTCAAACTCGAATCAAGTGATGATGTTGCTGTTTCAGATGCACTCAATGTCATGAATGCAGTAACATTGAAACCAACTCAAATCATTGATCATGAACCAATTTACCGTGTCTTGATAAAAACACTGATAAACCATCATTCATACATGAGCTTGTCAAAAGTATGAATTGATTGCTGAACAGATGTTTAAAGTGGAACTCAAAACAGTGCAATTCAATGTGCAGCTTTCCCGCGACTTTCCCGCTACAAAAAATACAGTCTTGGAACTCAAAGTGTACATCAACAATACTTGTGTGTATTGGCCATCAATGATGTTGTTGGTGTAGCATACACAGTGTGCATTGCATAAACGCTTGTTTGTTTGCTGGAGCTATTTCAAGCAAGCAAAAATACTAAAAGGTTTAGTTTGATGAATGTCTGGTGTATATTTACAATAAATTCAAACTCGAGAGATTGTCGTACTTTGCATACAAGACATACTACAATATATTACAACAATATCGTGTATTTCAATATGCACCCATTCGATTTACAACAGTGGCATAAACATCATCACATTTGAACAATGGTTCAGTCGTACAAAGTCCAATAACAGCCATGAAT